TCTTTGGGCATACCGAACAGCCTTTAAAACACCAATTGGAATGTCACCCTACCGTCTGGTATTCGAAAAAGCTTGTCATCTGCCGGTGGAATTGGAGCATCGAGCTTATTGGGTTGTGACGAAATTGAATTTAGATATGAAATTGGCCGGTCCACAACCTTATTGCAGCTTGATGAGTTGGAGGAATTCCGAAATGATGCATACGAAAAATGGAAAGATATACAAGGAACAGACAAAAATGTGGCATGACAAGAGAATCCTAAGGAGAGATTTCAAGGCAGGAGAGCGAGTTCTTCTATTCAATTCTCGCTTGAAACTCTTTCCTGGCAAGCTCAAATCCCAGTGGTCGGGACCATTTGTAATTCGTAAGGTATTCCCTTATGGTGCAATGGAGTTAGTAAGCATGGATGGATCTACTTTTTAGGCAAATGGACAACGCCTCAAGCATTACTATGGAGAAGAAAACAGGGATGTGGAAGAAATTACCCTTGATAAACCAACTTAACACCACGTTCACGTCCAGTTAAAGACGTAAAAGAAACGCTTATTGGGAGGCAACCCAACTTCTATTCCTTAAGTTTCTTTTCATTATTTAGACATGTTCTTTTCTTCTTAGGCCAATTTGGTAAGTTCGTTTTCTTTTTTCTTTTTATTTTGTAGGGTCATACTCAAAAATGGTTGTATCAACACTCTAGTCAATATGGGAAGGGAGTAGGTTGGAGGTAAATGTAAATAAAATAAAATAAAAAAAATTTCAGCAACTCTGAAACCATGGTGCCACACCTGGGCGCCCAACCCTTTTTAAAAAAACATAACACATTTTTTTCTTTTCATTTCCCTACCCCCAAACCCTTTTATTCTTTTCTTCTCTCAAATCTCCCCCTCTTCCTCCCCACACTTGCACACACCAAAATCTCTTATAATACCCCACCTTTATAAATTTTTACATCTATAACAACCCATATCTTAGAAGTGAAAGGCTAGTGACTAATTCTTCAAAGAAGGTACATTCTTTTACAATGCAATTTTCCTTCTTTTGGTTTAATTTGAACTTCTAATGGTAATCTTGTTTAGAACTACGTCACAATATCATTTTTCTTTGTTGGATTGTGTTTTGGTAAAGCTTGTGTGGGCTTTTGTTTTATCTTCGAAATTATTTTGTTGTATGCCTATCATGTGTTTGTTCTTCTACCTCTTTGGCATTCTTTGCCAATGTTGGAATCTATGTTAGAAGATTTCGCAATTTTCTATGGGCTTGAATTTTCCTAACTACTAATTTATTGTCTTTCCCACAAAGTGTTTGATAAATTTCACCAAAGACTTCTTTTGAACTATTCTTGGGACATTTTTTATGGCTTGCATT